ATAGAAGTACTCGGGCATTCGTCCCCCATAGCGCAAAAGTCGATTGATGTAGTGAGCTCCTTGCAGCAATGGATGAACAACTTTGTCATTGAACAATTTTGTTATCCGTGCCGCTTTGTTGATAAAACTAGAAAAAAGCATTCAGTTGTCACCCTTAATTTTTTTCTAATTGACCTAGATTGAAAAAAATTTATAATCACCTCTTATTATTGAGAACACGCTTCATTATTCGTTGTAAATTCTCTGGAGTGAGCATATGTTTGCTGAAGACTTCTGCGTAGCCCTAAATAAAGCAAAATAGAACTTATACCTCCATAAACCAACTAGAGCACCTTATTTTTCGCTAGCCATCCATTCCTGACTTGCTCGGCAAACATGGGCATAAATATTGCCGGTGTGGAAGAGCATGTAGTTTCTTTCAGACTAAAATCATGTAACATTATCTCAGTGGCGGAAATCTCGAGAAGCTGTTCATCATTGCTAATTTTCAAATCATTGAGCTGCAGGCTACCTTTTAATCTGCTGTTGCCTTTTTGAATTGAAAATTTTCAGATAAACTTGAGAAGGACAAAATCAGTACCTTTTTAAACCACCGTGGCTGAAAAATAGCACTGTCCGATTATCGTACAAAACGTCTACTTGAGGTATCCACTTGGAAGTGTAAATATGTGATTTTGTCTGTACATGTTCACCATTATAGGCCCATACGATACGATAATCCGTTAAAGAATTTAGCGTTGTAAGAATAGCCTCAAATTTCTCCCTGGGGATTCGATTCCAGTTAATCACTGTCCCTAAATATGACCTTTTCGTAGTACTCGTTCCACTGCAAATTATACAAAGCTTACCAAACGCCACCAAAATGGTTCCTTTCGAGTGCGGATCGGAAATAAAATCCAATAACTTTCCAGTCAGAGGCTTCGGTGTGGGGCAATATGCGCCGTAGTCAAACAACTCAAATGAAAATGACTTGGTTTCAGAATATTCAGGAATTATATGTAAGCACAACATCGTTTGTCCTAGGTTGAGCTCCAAGCAGATCCGTCGGCATGTCTGTGAATGAAAGCGAAGCTGCTCTTTGATACTCGAAAAAGCTGAAATTCTGCTCATATGGTAGGCGGTTACGTCATATGTGTCCTCTTTCCGCTTATTCATTATATGAATAAATACGCTATGAAGTCACTCTAAAGTGGATTCAGCATGTCGCGATGATATTGCAATCATATTGGAGAATATTATGGGAGATATTTATAGAGTATATATTTACAGTGAAGCTCTACACTATTGGGCTGTCAAGTTGCGCCGTTCTTTCAAAATAGAAGTTTTAAGATACTCAAAGCTTTAGCAGCTTACTTTATTGGTAGCAGTGTACCTGTTCAAAATTTCTACATGACCTTTTGTGATTTCGTTCTGTTAAACCAGAAGTGATTGAAATATCAGAGGGTCACAACAAGCGATAACTTAACCTTGTAGTTTTGTGAGGAATTCGTAATTTATAACGCACGTGAGGTATTGGCTATGCTATCACAGAAATTACAGCCATTTCATGCTTTAACTTACTATAGTATATAACAGTAGGTGTAGGTGTACGCTTTACGACCGCATACACTGATGTTATGACTACCGTATCAAACAGTTAATGTAGACACTTTTCCAGGCAGTGTCTACATTAACTGTTTGATACGGCAGTCACAACATCCTCAATGAAGACATTTCACATGGCAAACATTTGATTTTCCCATTTCTGTAGATCGGTGATTCTGACCTACTTACTACATGGATACTTAGATAGCCTGTCTTCACTCATCTTCAGGCCCTTCCATTGTTTCCGTCTGTTTCCGCCTCTCTTTGGCGTCATCCCAATATTGGTATTGAGCTGCGGAGGAAACATTAGGGGCGGTAGTAATCTAGTCGAAAAGGGTACGCTATTGTGAGAGTTGACTGCGATGTTTGCTGTTATTGCCCACCTAACTCGTTTAGAATTAGTTTAAAATGGACGAACAAGTTTCTAAATAATTTTAGATGGGGAAAAGTGAAGTTGGTGGGATGTGAATAGGAGTAATAGGTTGATGCATAATTATCCGGACTTTTTTTGCGTGCTTGTATCTTTTTTGTTTTAAAAGCTTTTTGT